AAGTCATAATACATAAATGTTCATGCATAGAAATACAATTCACTACAGTTATTACAACACAAACCAGATATATCAATAGTAACAAAACAATATTTCAATCATTCGCAATAAACAAACACTCCCGCCCACTTTGATACCTTAATAGACAATATCTGCGGTGAGCCGACTTCTCTATAACATGTCACCCGGCGATAACTTTTATGAGTGCGAAATTGTGTTTATGCGGGTACAAGGCGCGATTTACCGCCACCGCGCGCCGGCTCCCGCCTGGCGCCCGCGTAATCGGAAATATTGCAAGAAAACTTAGTTAGGGTATGGTGCTAACTATAAGAGTTGACGTTTTAACGGATGACGTTGGACACTGAAATTGTATTTCAGTTGCAAAAGCTTAAAAGGTTTAGCGAAAGGTTAACAGTTGAGCATATACATATCTCTGCAAAAACTGCATCTGTATTTCATTAGTATCTGCACGGAGAGGTACAGATTGAAAATATATGATAATCGGAATACCAAATTAGATTTTACAAATATGGAATTCATATACATAGATAATACTTGTGAGATGACTGCAGACTCAGACGAGAAATCGTAAGATCCTATTTGATTTGTTCTAAGTCTGTATTCTGTAAGTTTAGTTTAAGGTCTTATTTTATAAGCTAGAACTAAAACTATCAGGTTTAGGCAATTCTATCTAAATCTGGCAGTCCATTTATCTGTCTAATTATGTTACAGATACCTTTATTGTGAGTAAACATCGGAATACATTACATATACGGCCTACCTCCTGAGGTGGCAAAAATCCGCCACTATGTCTTGTAGTTTGGACCACAGCCCACGCCCACGGTTCTCGCATCTCGTGTCATTGTCGATACAGTGTTAACAGGACTTTATATAACAAACTAGTTATTGGTTTGCTATTGCCCGCTATTGTACAGCCTCTGGGAAGGTAGCTTTACACCTGGATGCAAAAATATTTGGTACTGATCAATATCTTCATCATGGTAATGAAAATGCTGGCATTACTTAATCAATACATATGTTATTTGCTCTGACTGACTGATTCATCAACGCAGGGCTTAAATCGCTGACTACAAACTTCAAATTTTTGCAGCTGATGCTTTTTATATTATAAGCTTCCCACTAAGAAAGGTTTTTTTGGAGATTTCACCCCTAAGGGGGTAATAGCGTTTGTGACTCCTGAGTTGCAGACCTTTATGGGCGGCGATGGTCACTTTTCATCAGGTGACCGGTCTATCATAAAAAAAGTGGTGAATAGTTTTGTGAAGGTTCGTCATTTTCAAAGTTATAAAGACGAAATAAGAGATAATCCCGCAAGCTAAGTCGCGGGCAATAGCTAGTTGGTATTTAAACCTTATTTTATATACTATCTTGATTTATTAAAAAAAAATGTCTCTTTTATAATTAGGCGACGTTTGGATTAAAAATAACATCAATTTACTTTCAGAGGAAGTTTGAATCGATTTAACATTTAAGAGTGAGTTGAGATAAAATTTTGAAGTGGTTTATAAATTATACTCCAAAACTCTAAACACCCATGTAACTCCCATCATAAATGTGGAAATTTGGATGAGTATTTGTTAATTAATCACGCCGGAACGGCTGAACGAATTTGAATGTAATTACAGAAATAGCTACTTGCAAGCACATGGCTACTTTTTATTTCTGAAAAAGCTGCCAGTGAGCAAAAGTTACGTGCCGAATCATTTTAATGTATTTATTATCTGAAAACTATTAATTTATGAAATAAAAACCTACGGGTTGTACAATTTACTATTTAAGTGAACTGTACTAAGCCTGTGGCCTGTGGTTCTCGTGTTGCAACCCTGAGTCATGTCGAGACTACTGCTACGAGATTTGGAAGCGCTACGAAAGGTGCTACGTTGCAGCTAATTTAATTTGCTATGAACCTGAACAGTAGTTTCAAATAGTACATACTGTTAAAAACATTTTTTATTCACTTAAAAATGAAGAAAGGAAACAAAATTATATAAAATTGCGTTACAGATATTTTTTCTAAAAAACAAGTTTCTTCTGTTAATTATAAAATTAAGTGGAGGTAAGCTCTGGGATAACGTAAGCAAGTAACAAGTGACTGAGAGTAGATTAATAATGTACTACCTATTATAGTTTATTTAAGATATTTTTTTTACTACGTCTGTGTTATAGTTATATTATATGTGGTTTAATATATATATAATATAACTATAACACAGACGTAGTAAAAAAAATATCTTATCAGTATATATATATATATATATATAAAATAAAAGATTATTATATATAGAAGAGGTTTTTGTTATACATTCAAACAATACAAAATCATACAGTAAGATACGCGCCTCCAGTTAACATTAGTGTTAACATGTAATGATGCGGAGAGTCTAAAAATAAAATCAATTATGGTCGAATCGGGCTTCGGGCCTAGTACTGTTCGGTCCTAATCGGTTCTAGTTATCATTGAGTTATTTGTCTTGAGAAAGCCCTGGCCAAAAGATAATTATCTAAACTAACATGTTTAGATGTTAATGTAAGTTTGTGTACGCTTAAAAACTTAAAAAAATTCTTTACCGATTTACATTTTGACACGATATACAACTCGCTTCAAAGATGGTCGTTATCTACTTTTCGCAACAATTTCGTTCCTCATTTCTAAAAGCCCGTACCAAGCTTTGCTGTCGGACATTGTTGTTTATACATAAATTGAAAATTGCTTTATTATGTCTATTTGATATCTCGTACTTCTCCTTATCATTAAATATTTTCTCTCCAAAAGATTCTTTAGAAATAAGTCTTCAAATATATTTATGCAAACATAACAAGTCTTGAAAGTCGTCTGTACGCCGTCTTAATGACGTATACTCGTGCAATCGTCGCTAACGACGTCGACGACAAACGAGCTAAGCTGCAAACTACCACTTGTGGTGCAGTTTAACATGTAACAGAGACGTGCTGTTTCTTTAAATGATACCTACAGTAGAAGAAACTAAAAGATTTCAAGCATCACCACCGTATAAAGAGTTATACTTCTCACACAGAAGGTGCACTGCTCTGATCTTGTACAGTCTTATTTCTTTTTGCCTACGCTGAGACGTAAATAAGTGGCAATGTGCAAACTGAAATACGCCTCATTTGTGACAAGTCGTTCCACCTTTGTTTATTGTTATTCGTTCTCTCCCAGTGGTTGTAGCGTGATTTTATATAGCCTACAACCTTAATCAATTAATATTCTATCCTGAACAAACAATTTTTTGAATCAGCTTAAAACAGTACCAGAGATTGGCGAGTTTAAACATATTTGTTTCATGCAGGCATGTTTAAACATCGTGAGCATTAGTATCAGATTAGAAAAAGCATTTCATCAACTAGCTGAAATAATAAGAACGAGTAATTGATTATAAATTAAAGAAGAATGCGCCTGTCGCCCCACCTCTCCCTGTCTTCGTTCTCGTCCTGCCTTCGTGCCCCTTCGTACCCCGCAGGCGAGGACTCAATTAAGTGGTTTATCTATGTTTCTATATATTGTTAACAGAACTAACTAACCACGATGTCTTTCGTACCTTGATCAGCGGATCAAATGACCATGACCTATAATAAATAATGTTTATTAAATTGTAAAGTGTTTCATAATTATTAATAATTTTCCCGTATATATAATAAGTTTGATAGGGCGAAAAGAATATAAGAAATTATATTTAAAATTTCAATGGCAAGGATTTAATAGTTGTGATATTGACTGAACCGAGATTTGATATTTGTAAGATACGTGGTACCTTTTCAATTTATACAACGTTTCCATCGAAATGCTTGTTTTTTTTTTTGGTCAAGTGCAAAGTAACCACTAATTTAGATCTACCTATGTTTTATTCTTTCTATCATATGTATATATATACACACACACGTTCACACACACACACACACACACACACACACACACACACATACAAGTGGAGGAGGATTAAAAAAAAACATTATAATATGATAGTGAATATTATTTTTGATGAGTATTAGGTCTTTCAAGTAGCTCGGCTATCACGACTCTTCTGTTAAACCAAATAAGATGTACTATTGCGTAAAAGGTATGATGACTCAATTTCGAAGTGTCGTTTCTAATTGGAGTTTGCTGCGTGAGAGTCATTCTGCGACTGAACGAAATGCTGTTTTATTTTTTTAATTGTCAAGACTGCTTCAAACGTGTAATGATGACTGTAAACGTGGGGGAGGCTGTGGTGGCCGTGAGAGGGTCTGTGTGGCTGATAAAAATTGTATGTCTACGTTTTAAAATTATTCTTCATGTCGTTTCAAAACAAGAGTGATGAGTAAAGGTATATAGAGATGACGCAGGAGGAGAAATAAAAGCGTTCAAATAATATAATCTACTAAATTACTAAATCCTAATTTAATTGTAATTGAAACTCAAACTGAAATGTGTGTTTTTAATACGCCTCTGTCTACTCCCTTTCGTAATTATAAGTCCATGTATACATTTATCTTCATAAGAAGATACACACATATGCATGTGTAAATGTGTTTTTTATCGATTTAAAATGACAAGTTTTAATTAATAAGAAAATCGGTGTTAGTCATTTGTCCAAATTGATTAAAGTTTTGTGTGGTATGAGCCACGTATATGCTATCCATACTTTCTATTATAATTTATATTGTAAATGTGAAAGCGAGCTTGTTTGTGTGGGTTACGCATTTACGCCTAAACCACTAAACCGATTTTAAAAATTCTTTCACTAATGGAAAGCCACATATCAGTGAGTAACAGGCTACCTCTTACCGCGATAACCGCAATACACGCGGGCGGAGCTGCGGCCAAAACGGCCAAAAACGCCAAAAACTAGTACTATAAATATATCTAAACATATTTATAATTTACGAAACCCACTGTGTCGAATGATTTCAGCCAGTTGCAAATAAACCTTCCTAAAAATCAAAAAATATTCAACATATTTATATATCTTATTTTGTTGCAGGTCCACAAAGATTTCTTCGGAAGGGTTGTGCCTATTGCACATGGTCATCGATCAGGTGAGATAATTTTTTCGATCTTTTCCCCATTGCACTCAAAACTCGACCTAATAAATATAGCAGCCGCAATCTTTCTCATATGTACCCACGTATCACGCCATAGTTACGACGCATGGGCAAAATATTCATCCGTGGTCATAATAATACCTAAATTAGTAATTAGGCTCTTTCTAAGCCTCTCCTTAGAAAGGAGAACCGAATTACTCATCACTCAATTCATCAACAGCCTTTATTAAATGTCCAACAGTGGCCTATTAACAAAGGCTGTTGATGAATTAAGTAAATCGTTATTAAGTCATTAGAGTATTTTCTTCTAAAGCTTGTTATCACTTTATTGCTATCATGTCACTGTTAAGGTTGTTTTTTTACTGAAAAGCTCGTCTAATGTTTCTATACTAGGCGAAGATATAATAGTTGCAAACCATTGTCTTATTTGTTTTTCAACCGATTTTCTATAATTACTGTCGAGTTTTAGTAATTATTAAAATTGATCTATGAAATAAATAAAGACATGATCAAAATACTTATGGGATTCCTAAATTGTAATAAATAAATAATGAAATGGGGGTCTTACACCGACAACTTGCCTGTAAATAACTTGTAATCACAACACACACACGACAGGTATGTGCTCGAACCCAGTTCTCAAGAATGGTCGAGCCACTTTGTATTTGGATCGATCTATCCTCACAGACAGGACCATTGTTTTTAAATTAACTTCATATTGTGGTGATCAATCGATTAGAACGACGTGTCGTAGTACACTGAAAGCCGACTCCAACCTAGTTTGTATTTTCTTTCTTTCTTTTTAAATTTTTTTTAAGCATGTATTAAAAAATGTAATCAATATATATGTAAATGTAATAAAGAGTCGAGACTATATACAAAAACGTATTAAAAATTACAATTGATACGTTATTCTTTTAGATAATGCTGTATTTTCTTCAAGTATTCCTCACACAGTAGAGCCTTACAATATTCACAGTCGCACAACCCACAGTAACATTATCACATAACGTTAATCTCGCGTCTACCGTCCGCTATTATTTTCAATTACGGCCGATGTAAAGGGTTGTTAATATTAATCAACGTGACGCTCCCGAGCGCTGAACACCTGCACCACTAGATGTGATAACCCACCGATTGTCTAACATTGTGATATTAATCGCACTTAATTTTGTCACGGATGGGAAAATTTTAATAGATTGTGAATCGCGTTTTGGTTAAGAGGCTTATACAATTATACATACTGTTGTTCACATTGTCTACTATATACTCTATCGTTAATTAATAATATGATTTCCCATTGCTTAAATGTACCTTTGAAGTAAATACTTGCCAACAAAAAAGTGTTAATGATAATAAATGACCTTGACACACATGAGTATTCAAATACTTAAAAAGTTGCCCAATTCATTTGAGTTCACACCAAATTTGGCAACTTTTTGTTCTATTCGTTTGAAGGGCATTCTTTGGCTGTTCATCTAAGGTGATTCTATTACGATAAAGACAAATTGAATAAATTACATTTATTTCGTAGTGACAGTAATTAGCTTGGTTGAAGTTAGTTATTTACACCACCATACATTTATGTTTATTTCTTCATTATAACAGTAAATTGTTGTTAGATTTAATTTATTCATATTTATTTATTCATTGCTTCACAAGGTACATTTACGATTTCATTGTTTTACAGATCAGAATACGAATTTGATTTCGGCCATAAAATAACAATAAATTAACTAATACATATTTTTTCAACTAAAAATGGCGCCACTTATTTTTATTAACTTATTACTCAGTACGTATTTTAGGACGCCTAATACACAGCTAAAGCCTAGACATGTATGACGCGTCGTATAACAGTAATAACGATTACAAGATCAAAACACCAGACGAAAACCACTTTAGTGTACAGTCATCTTAAGTCACAATCGCCCGGTTGTCTCCGACGCCACCCTACCCCCACCCCATCCACCCCCTGCCGTCACAATTCTCGTTAAGGTGACTGTTTAATAATCTCAACGCGATTTGTAATGGGATTGGGCAGAAATTCGCCCGAGACGTCCCTAAAGCTATATTATTGTTTCTACAACCGAGTACAGTTGGAATCTGATTTTATATTATTCAAATTTATATTAATATTAAAATGGATGGAGACGGTATTGAGTTGTCTGTGTGATATATTAGAGTAGATGTTTATTGTAAGGAAATTTTGAATGTACAATACGGGCTGAAAATACAAAACTTCAATGCAATTAAGCCAAGTATTATTGTCGTGTAGATTAAAGATATTAAAGCTTATTTATAGTATCCAAGAACTGAATAAAAATCAGCATTTCAAATGTTTTATTAAAAACGCAATATTACGTGTTCTGATCACGTGATAAACACACTCTGTTGTCTAATTACGAATCATTAATCGTTTAATCGTTTTAAATTGACTTTTTTATTCTTCAAGGCTATTATCTATTTTTTTTTACACTTTTAACAAAGGGTACGCAGATTGGCTAAATCTTTTCAACCGTTCTCATTCTTGTTATTTATTTATTTACGAAAAGGACGTTATTACTTTAAACGAAACCAATTAAAATAGTAACAAAAGTAGAATAGGAGAATATTAACAATGAGATGTCTATTTAAAATAAAATTTATTTCTTATATAATTACTAATTTGTTTTTTTTTTCATTTGGAAGAACTGAAAAACATCACACTTATTTTATTACGTATTCTTTAGTGCTGAATGAAATACTTTCTTAAACTGCACAATATTTGTAATCGTCTGGGCACCCTCTTAGACTCACAAATCTCAGCATTAACCAGTGAAGGGCTATATTTTAAGTAAATACCTAAATTTATTTTAAAGTACTTACTAACCTACTAACTAACAATCCCAACCAATAAGTATTTTTAAAAGCACTTGCCACCAAAAAAGATTCTAAGCACTACTTCGTACTGTCTTCTTGCGTAGCAGCTCTACGAAATCTGCTACACCTATGCTACGAAATAATCGGAACGTGGACAGTCAGTAACAGGGAATCCTTTATAGCCATAAAGTAGTGTAATGTTCTTTTCGTATATATTTAACTTTCGTTGATGTAAAGTTATAGAAAAAGGTTGATTGACGGCCACAGAAACACCGCCTTCTCAGGCAAGAAAACCTTAAATCATTCTCAGTAGACAATAAAACCTCTATATAAATATATTTTAGAAATTGATAAATTTTTGACAATAAATTCGTCTCCATGCCATTGTTCCATCTGTTCGCCGAAGTTATAATGAGTTACTGTATAAACTAATTGTTCGATGTGTGCCTTCGAGCACGGAGCCACGAAATAGACTTAATGTTTGATTTAGCTTTTGTACCACCATTGTACCGCTGATCACTGTTAGCGAACCAAATATATTTATTGAAACTAATTAGTTTGAGTTTCAATATAGGTCATTTAAATTGGTTATCACAATAAGCTGTACCGTACCTTTTGTCTATTTGGTTTTTTATTGCTTTTAGAAACAGTTTTTTTTTTCTTTTTTTTAACGACTAAAAATAAAGATGAGGTTCTCAATTAGGTTGTATTTTTTAAGTTTTAAATTTTGTTTTAAATTAGTAATTAGTGTAGTTGAAGAGTTAGAGAGTGGAAAATTAAGGAATGAACACAATTAATCACACTATAGTATATGTGTTATAGTGGTATGTGTCAGATATCCCAAAAATTTTTTTTTTCTGTGAGGCATATTAATTACTCTGATCGAGTCCGCTTAATCCTGCCGAAGTATGGCTCCCCCACGGTAATAATTCTTTTAAAAATTAAATGCCAAAGACGAAGTACTATAAGTGTTTAGAGTTAGTTACTATGTTATTCATGGACACCCTGTATAACTAATGATACGTGACACAATGCCGTGCTCATACGTAATGCTAGCGGGGGCGGTGCAAGTAATTAACTACAAACACCGCCATTGTGTGCGCGCCGCCCTGCGGTTTAGCATTCACTTAGGTACTAAATGTCTCTGTATATTAGTAGCTTTATGTATCCCGTTAGCAAACTGTTATACAGACTATTTCAGTTTTAGCGCTAGGAATTGTTTGGCATACATTCTATTTGTTGGTGCGCTTAGAATTCAATGTTTATTTTACATTAAAGCAGCTTTAGCCAGCGACCGACAGCTACACCTTGAAATCAGTACAACTATTTAAAGAACTCGTTTAAATTCTGTACTCTCTATTGAGATCTTGTGTGAAGAACTGCGTCTGAATCTGAAACAAGTTGATAATTAATAAGATTATTTTGAAACATAATATATCCATAAAGGCGTAAAGAAACATGTATTACCTACATTAAAATTTTAGAAGTTGTTTTATTTTGTTTCGTCTTATAGGTGTCTAGATGACCGTCCTTATTATATATTATAACTTATAAAATAAGTTATTTAAAAAAAATAACTGGTTTCTGAACATGATAATTCGGTATAAAGTTAAAAAAAAATTTGCAAACCAATTTTTTTGCAAAAAAAAACAGTATTAAAAGCTATGAAGATATAAGCACACAGGCTGAGAAAATGAAGGGCGAAAAATAACGATTTTTTTGAGATTATTAGCGTGATATCTCGTAAAGTTTCATTTTCTTCGTGTTTTTTTAACACTTCAACCTATTTTTTGTTTTTCCATAAAAAAAAATTTTTCAGTATACTCGAATTATCACTTTTTTTTTCGATCTGAACTTTCTCATTGTATTTTTTTTCATTTTGTATTATATAGGCAATTTAAGTATTTTCTTTTGCTGCCTATTTTCTTAATTATCTTTCCTATTCCTATTAATCTTATTGACTCGTTTATTGAAAACGTATTTTCAAGTTACAATATTTAACTAAGCACGGCTTTGCTCTTAATTAATACTTGATGTTACATAGCCTTCTCCAAAAATTGGGCTATCGAATTGAGAGCGTGAAACAAAATAAAAAACTCTTCAGTTTCAATCAGCCAGGTTCGTTAGCCATTAGACCAACAGATCAGTCATTCCCGTCAGTCATCATATGTATAAACTGGAAGTCACGCCTCTCTTCCTTTGGTCCGAAGAGAGCCAACAGCTCTGGTTTTGTGTGTCTGGAAGATCTTTGGACCTGGCCCATTTTTCGACCTTCGTTTAACAGAAGCCCAAAAAATACTTTAAAGTTTACTTTTGCTTATATCCCTAGATGCGGTACCCGACGTGATCGCTTCAAGCAGTGTGTTCTACCAATACCAAGAGGGATTCAACAACGCCGTCAGGAGGAACGTGAGGACCAAAGACCTCCTGTAACTTTCACGATTCACACATATTTATTATTAATAATTCTATTTTCTTTCTGCAACCTGTTAAGTCCATAAGACACGGTATTTTTCTCAAAAATTGTATGCCAGTGAAATATTTATTGTCAATAAGGACTATATTGCTTTGCATCATTCGAATTATATGTTTATATAAATTCAATGGAATTAGTATTTTTTGTAACTTAATCGTGTCTTTTAATTGTAAATATTAAGTGAAGTTAGTCACATTACAAGATTGTGTAAGGTCATGAACTGTTCTTAGTATATCCTAAAAACGGTACAAATTATTCAAACCTTTTAAAACAATAAATGTTATGAATTTGTAAATAGAAAATTTTGCAGCATTTTCTCGTTACTAAACGTCAAAATGGTGTCTCCTATAGAAACTTGTATAAAATAACAACTTGTGACGTCATACTTTGCTATCATTTATATTTCGTTTGTTTTGATAATTTCAGAAAAAACAAACCTATAAAAAGGACTTTTTTAAACTCTTCATAAGGATTGCTAAATTTAAAAATAAATAAACCTACCATATTGTCAATTTCTTTATGATTTTGTAAAATGTTCTGTGCAAGAGACGGAGAAGGATTCGTAATAATTTTTAATCATCGGTGAACGTCTTCAGAGATAAGTAATGAATGACTAATCAGGTGTAGTACAGCAATAAATTGAAAACTTGTCTGCTCGGCACCTGCGGTGTGAAGTTTGAACATAAATCTCTACGTACAGTGCGACCACGCGCTTGTAGCTGTGATATCCCTTTGATCGTCGATCACTTAAGATCGTTGGTTTAGAACTTAGCTATAAGATATAAAGAGTTTTTGTAAATGTCGTTGTTTCATTTCATATTTGAAATATTTAAAAAGCGGAGGGGCCCGCCCCCTCTGAAACCCAGTAAATGATAAATTATATTTATTCATGTTAGTAAATCTTTACAAGTCGGACTTTACAGCTAGACGGTGCCGGCATTTCCTAAGACTCACACTGGCAAGAAACGCCAAAACAGACCACACATTTAAGTACAATGTTAAAAATAACTATTTGGGTGCAGTACAGGGTCTGGATTGGCCTTTTGAAGAAAGGACAAGTGTTTTGAGTCGGCCCGTCCATATTGACAGCATACAGGCCCCAGCCATCCTGTAGCCTAACAGATATAGTCAGGATCAACAACCCGGAACACGACACTACCGCCAGAAGGACACTTGAATACTTTATGGGTCGATTCGACCGGAGTTATACAACGGCCTTAAAGAAAACTGATGTAAAGACATTCTCTTATTGCTTTTCACCGAGTGTATAATAGCTTTGTCCAAATTATACAGAGACCTAACTCCATTCCCTAATTCTAGGGGGTGCAAGTCATTTGCGTCTCTGGGCGACGGTAGTCACTTACCATCAGGTGACCTGAATTAAAACTGACTGATTGTGAGTAACAGTCAGCCTGTGACCACAGCCAGTAAAAGTTTAAGGATTAAGTGAGAGAAGACAGTTAGAAAAAGAGTGTGAAAGAGAAACAGAAACTGATTAAGTGAGATTAGAAATTCTTTATTAAATTTAGGTAACTTTTTAAATCCAAACCTATAATATAAAAGCGAAATTGAGTTTGTTACTCTTTTAAACTACTAAACCAATTTAAAAAATCTTGAATTAATGGAAAGCTTTATTACCAGCGTGTAACATAGGCTATTTTTTTTACCACGATTACACGCGGGCGGAGCCACCGGCAAAAGTCGAAAAAATATAAACATATCTTCTGAGAGCGATTAGTATAAAAGCCATTTTAATACAAACTTGATTCATAAATACATCAGGTGTATAATTTACGATTGTCCTAGAAACTCCTTTGTCAAATACAATGATTCAGAGTTAAACTTTATGTTTAAAGTATGTTGCCAACTGAGAAAATATGAAGTAATGTTGGCAACTTCGTGAGTTATTCATGGTGATTCTTGTTGTGTGTACTTCAGGCGCAATGTAATATGTTCGAACAGTGTAGAGTGAAGAAGAAGAATGTAGAATGAACGTAATAGACTTCTAGAAATATAACCTCTTATTAAACCAAATAGTAATTAATAGGTAAGTAGGTTTAGACAAGTATTGTCACATGGTCGTTTTGTAAATTAATCATTATATTTTCGTAAATACATAAAGCTTGATTGCTAAGTAAAATAATATTGTAGGTATGGAGGTATTGGTTGTGGGCTCCGATTGCCGCGTTTAGACTTAAGAGTGATCTTTTATGCGTCGAGGAAAGTTTGGCTAGGTGAGCCAAAGCAACTCCTTCCAGAAGCGCAAGAAGCCTCCTGAGGTGTTCACAGGCTTCTAGGAGCGATTTTGTATTAGTATGAGCTTGCCCGTTGTGTGGCTACTCCCTCGCATTCCAAGATAACGTGGGCGACCGTTTCTTCTGCTTTCAGACAGCCCCTGCAAAGACGATTTTCCGTCGAAGTAATGGTTAGTAAGTCGGTTAGTAAGTTGTCGGTTCAGGGCTAGGTGTCCTGTTATTGTTCCTACAATTCGAATGTCTAGTCTACTAAGACTGAACAGTCTGCAGGTGAGTCGTGGTGTGACTTCAGTCAGCACAAGTTTGACTGTTTGCAGCCGGGTGAGTTTTTCCAGCTCCGGTTGTGTGCTTCACGAGTCCGTTGTCTGGCCTAGGATCGAAGTTGTTTGGCAGGAGTATGAATGGGCCGGTAAGCGGAGTTACCGAGACCCTACTTGCCAACTCAACTGCGGCGTCGTTCCCGTGTGAGTTACTGTGCCCTTTAATCTATTGGTGGAGTACCCCATTTAATGTAGCAAGCTGCTTCAATGCTTAATGGCATTCGAAGACATTACCGGAAGTCATTGTGTTGCCCTGCAGTGTAAAGGCACTAGAGGGCAACTGATGGTCATACTGTCTGACAGTAAGTGGATGTTATAGTCCTTAATACCCCTTGACATGGCGTAAGTTATTGCCACACATTCGCATTGGAATATGGAACTGTGTTGGCCTTGCGATCTGAATCTGGTAGTGTGTGGAATGCGATCCCTCACCTTTACGTCACAGACGCAGGTGTCTGAGTGTAATGGTCACCATGGCGGCCTCCTGCTGAATGAAAAAATCCAGTGGGGGTAAACCAAGTGCCACCTCTAGTGAGGCAGTTAGCGTTGTGCGCGTACAGCCAGTGACGGCAGAGCATGGTAGTCTCTGGAATTGCTGCAATTTGTTTATGACGGTGCTTAGCTCTGTTCTGTGCCACCAGACAATAGCACCGTAAGTGATTATTGGTCTTATGACTGTTCTGTAGAGCCAGTGTAATCTTCTGTGATAGTCCCCAGCTTTTGCCTTGTTGCCCCAGAGAGCCGTTTGCATTGGCACAGTTTGCAGTTTACTGTCCAGTATTACTCCTAAGTATTTGACCTCTTTGGTAAGAGTCAGTTGCGTTCCAAATAGTTTGGGAAGTCTGAGATTTCCTAGACTACGTTTGATTGTGAACATGATCGTCTCTATTTTAGATGGGGTCACTGTCAAGTTGTATGTTACACACCACTGTTCAAAGATCTCCAGTGGGAGTCTCATTTTAGATCGCATATAACGCTCACAAAAGGGACCACTGATGAGGATAGTTAGATCGTCTGCATAGCCTATTGTGAGGAATCTACGGTCAGTTATAGTTATAGTTACTAAGTATGATATATGTATGATATATAAATTTACGTAATTTTTTAACTAATGAAATCAAACTAGTTACTAAGTAAATAGTTTGATTTCATTAGTTAAAAAATTACGTAAATTTATGAATAAATAAATAATTCAGTTTATTTTTCGCTTCTAAGTTTTTTATGTAGGGAGGTTTTGTTTGATATCTTTTTTGGAGCTGTTTTATTTATAAAAATTGTTTCTGAAAAGTATGCATTTAATAATATAATAATATGCTACCACATTTACAGAAAGCCACCTGATATAAATACAAATATATGTACTTTTTTTGTAAATACATACAAATACATAGAAACACATATTATATTGAATTGAACGCGTGACCTTTGGCGTCTCAGTCCGTTGCACGAACCACTACGCCATCGGGTCCTCGAACCTTTAGAGTCATCTTTCTTTCCAGGTATAATAATCTCGACTTACTTGGTGACTGCTGTTTATTCCAATAATGAGACACAATCGCCTTATGCACCTTAAAGAAGCAGTACCGATAAGGTTATTCTTAAAAAAGTGGCTTTACTGTTTTAGTCACCGGTTCCATCTCAGAAAATGCTAATTAGAAAGGAGTGGCGACTACTGTATTGATGAGCCTGGTTGTACAGTCATTAGTGATAGTTATCCTAAGCATGTGTGTAATTAATCTATAATATGCCAGTATTTAGAAATATATAAGTATGTTTATCAGCAGTCTGGTTCATTTTTTTTGTTTTTAAAAAGACCACTCCCGCATTAGGAATATATCCTGTGTCGCGGGGGACTTTACAAACATACATGAAACAGACACTAAGAACACCCAGACTCAGAACAACAATTTGTGGATCACACAAAGTGTCGTCCCATGTGGGGTTTGAACCCACAACACTCGGCGTAGTAGGAAGCGGCGTGGCGACCGCTTAAACCACTAAGCCATCCGTGCAGTCAAGTTGGTTATAATAGTACAAGCTCTGTCTAGTTTGGGACGAGACAGCCGTGTGTAAGGTTGTTCTTATTATTTTAAGGGGCATTTATTGTATTACTATACATATATTCAGTACTAGCTTTTGTCCATAGTTAGCATTTATAGTTACCACTCTGCTCTTATGGCCTTCCTAAGACAAAACTTAAATTTGTAATTGAATTATTTATATCTGATTGTTTCAGAGATTAGCTTTTTAAGCAAACAAAGAAGCTCTTGAAATTTTTAATATATATTATTATAAATGGTGTCATAAAGCTGGTCTGAAAAAGCAACTGGAAGGTCGCCATAAAATGTCCTCAATTACGCTTTATAAACCTGTACTGAACTA